CCCGGCGCCGCCGCGTCGGCAGCCGCCGGCCCAATCAGCACCCGGCCCGAGAGCCGCGCCGGGGGGCGGGACTATGCTAAACACTTCGCAGGGGCGGACTCTCCCTGGAGTCTTGCTCGCGAGGAGGAGTGACGGCGAAGATTACCAATCACAGCGGAGAAGAGGCGGGGTTATGCAGATACTGACCCGAAAGGGGCGGGAGGGAAGGAGGAAAGGGCGTGGTTGCGGGAGAGGCGAGTTTACAAACAGTGAGTCAGGTGGCCGCGGCGTATGCTGCACTGGCAGGTGCACTGCACCAGGTGGCGGCGCCAGCCTGCTGGGCCGACCCCTTGGCTGCCCAGACCCTAGGGGATGTTTCCCACAGATGCTGGGGACGGGGAGATGGGTGGGCGTAGCTGCCCCACACTGTCCTACCAAATACCTACTATCGCCACCCTCCTTTGCAGGCCATTCATCCCTCACCAAAATCTGGCTCATCCCTGACCGTTTCACTCCCCTATTTAAAACCCTTCGGGACTCCTATTGACCTCCAGTAGCTCCGTGTTTAAGCCCAAAAAGTCTGGAGTCAGACTGGGAACTTGCATTCTTACCAGCTGTGTGGCCTTAGGCAAGTTAACTAACCTCTCTGAGCCTATCAGCACCCAAAATTTCCTTTACAAACCAGGGTTCCCCTACCCACATCCTATTTGAGTCATGGGTCTGGTTTTAGGGGAGTGGAGTGACATGAACCAGGCTGGCTACTCAGTCATAGAGACTGGCTTAGGGGTGGGCGTGAGACCCTGTCCTGGCTGAGGAGGCTCAGCCTGGGACTTGTGCTGCAGCGTCAGAGAGTTCAGACTAGTGGGGAGGCTGGAATCAAATGACTCTCTCACCTTCCTGCCGACTTCCCTAGAACTGGATTAGGTGATAGATGACAGTCTGGGGCTATTACAGGGCATCTTTGCCACTTGAGGACAGGGGCTCCCAGGAATGAAACTGGCCCAGAGGAAAGCAAGAGCAAACACCATGGGTCACCAGGAACCAGCTGCACCTGCAGCAAGAACTGTCCTAGACTTTTTAGTCACATGAGCTACTACGTTTTCCTTGCTGCTTAAGCCAGTGTGAGGTGGAGCCACAAGAGTACTGGGCCCCCTGTAGGAGAACTGAGAGATTAGCATGATCTTACTGCACGTTCTGAAGCTTCTGCTCAGTGCTGCCTCTTCCACAGAGCCACGCCCAGTTGACCTCTGCGCTCCCTCCACAGAATGTCTCCCCACTTCAGCGGGAGAGGGGTCACATGCAGGTCACCCCCAGCAGGATAGTGGGTGTCTCAAGGGCAGGGCAAGCCTTGGTGGCTTCTGTGTCCCCGCAGCAGACACTTATGCCCTCCATAAACACAGGGTGTCAGTGAGAGAATGAACAGGGCCTCTGTGGCAGGGACTGGCCCCAGCTTACTGGTGGCCCATTGTCTGCCAACGCCGGTTATGGAGACATGCCAGGATTGGGAGGGAGCTTGCTAAGCTTCTCCTGAACAGAGAGACGAGGGAGGCAGTCCAGCTCAGAAACAAAGGTGTTGCCATGGCTACCTCGAAGAAAGGGACTCCAGCCACTGGAGGGAAGGGAAGACGTGCAGGCCCCCAAGCCAGGACAAGGACAAGGAGGCCGGTTGCCACGGAGATGACCAGGCTCCACAGCTTCCTCGTGGGCCTGGCCTAGGGCAGCTCAGTGTCCCAGAAACCCACCATCCTCTATGCCCTTCACCCAGAGTCTTTAAAGGACTCTTAACCTCATGCAAGGGACATGCCCCTGAGGCGCTCAACCTACTCCCCACCTCTTGGCCGTGAGCTCTGGTGGTGAGTTTGGCATCAGAGGCTCAGGCAGAATGACTCCCACCTTCCCAGGGACCACCCTGGATTGAGTGTGGCCTTCTCCACCGTGGGCAGGAGGGTGGCATCCTAATCTTGGATGGGCCCTGGGGCTGGGATAGGGGATTATCCCCTTTTAACAGATCCTGTGACTGGGCTCCAAAGGTCGGTAGCGGCCCTGTCCTTCCTAGTCCCTCGCTGGGATGGGATGGAAATCCTCCCTCAGATGGTGGATGGAAGGAGGGTGCCTTGGGACCAATTTTGGTGTGTTTTTCATGATTTTCACTGGATCAAGAGGCCAATTCCAGAGGCAAAACTCTCCAGGAACAGGATGAAAGACGGGAGTCGAAAAGGAGACAAAGGTGGCTTGGGGCCATCTTTAGGATAATGACGATGTAATGATGACGGTAGCTGAGTGTCCGCGATTTACGT